TATCTATAATATTAGCTCCATATGGAAAAATAGTGAGAACTAGATATGATTCAATTCAAACTGAAGGAAAAAATATAATAATTGATAAAATAGAAACTCTGAAGACACAGTTAATACCATCCGAGTATCGTGCCAAACGCGCCCTTAATTTTTTAGGCTCAGTATTAAAATTTGTTACAGGAATACCAGATCACGATGATCTAGTTGAAATTAAAACAGGACTTAATCAACTTATCGAAAATAATAATCAACAAAGGACAATAAATTCTCGATTTGAAAAAATCTTAACAACCCTAGATCCACAATCTATTTTTGATAATTCAATACTTACGAAAATATACAGTGAACTATTAACTATTACAAATACCATTAACTTCGCAAAAACAGGAAATTTCTTCTCTGGAACACTTAATATCAGAGATGTAGAAGAAGCAATAAAAAACGAAGTATATGATATTCCAATAATAAATATACTAGAATATTCTGATATCCACATATGTACCTTTCATGATGCTATTATAACAATCTACAAATATCCTGTAATAAGAAATAAATGTAAAATGTATAATCTAACCCCATTAGCCTTTAAATATGGAAAATATCAACGTAACAACAAAATAGCTTTATGTAATAATACATTCAACAACTTATCAAAATGTAAAAACTATGTAGGCACACATATTTGTAAAAAAGAACCAAAGGATAATTGTACTATTCCTTTATTATTAAAACAAAATGCTCACTGTAATATTATCCAAGAAAATAACATTCCCTTACAAATATTAGATAATGGTAACATTATTATAGACTATGAACACATATGGAACGGACTCAAAGTAAACGGTCCACATTTAATCCAATTCAATTTTAATACAACTATTGATAATAAAACTTATATTAACCATAAACAGGAAATAAAAAATGTAATACATGCCCATCAAAACGAAAAAGTTAATATATTGAAAATTTTAAACTCCGAATCAGATTATAAATTTACCAATATACAAGAAATGTATAAATTAGTGATTCCAATTGAAGAACATCCTTGGAAATTTACTTTATATTTAACCATAATAATAATTATACTAATTCTACTTATATACTTAATTATAAGATTACATACATATCGACAACTACAATTAAGCACCAAACGTCGAAGAAACTTCGAATTAGCTTACCTAACCGAATTGCAAAGATGTCAAAACCTAAGCCCTTCGAAATGAGGACATTTCATTTTTAACACCGGGGAGAGTTAACGACGTTAATACATATACTGCATATATTACATACATACATACACTACATACATAGCTAACATGCCTGGTCACATACATTACATATATACATAAACTATAATGTACAAATAAACATGTTTGTCTCATAAGTAATATGATAACATTGTAAACAACCTTCAATAACAAATTTAATCACTAAACCAATAACAAACACCATTTATCATCAGTAGTAGAAATGGTATAAATAGATGTAAGCATAAACATGTAAGGAGTTCGAGATTATACGAATTCAAATAAAGAGCTCTTTCTCAGAAAAATATAAAAATATTTTTTTTATAACTTTCCTGACTTGAGTATTAAACTCGCGCCACCCAATCTGGAGTGGAAGTGGCGTATGAACAACAAACCGGCGCTGATGTAGGAGTTTTTGTGGGTGGTAACTAAAGCTAAATGACACTAAGGCTGCAACACTTTGCCCTAAAATACAAATGGGAAATCAGAGTCGGTCGTTGCATGTGCATCAATTTCCTATGGCGAAGCTTATAAATTTCACTACTCCATATTAATGGCCAACCAGATCGGTACAGACATGCACTTAATGCTTAGTATGTACGCAAGTATATAAATTTGTGGTATGTCAAATTAAATTCATAGTGTCTGGGCGCACTTTTAATTACATTTGAGGTTTCACATAAAACAATTTACTCTACGCCACGTTTGTATGTACTACATAGAAATACAGACATATAAGTAAAATAAGAGAATTAACACTCGAGCTGCAATAAAACTACAGCGAACTGAACTCACAAACCATAAAGAGATAACAGAAAAGTTTGAACGCATATAAAAAGTTTGTTCAACTACTATGTGAAAGTAACATACATATATGTACACACGTTTGTTAGTAAATATGTGTGTATACATAAATAAAAATTTATTTGCAAATAAAGTATTGCGTTGATGTCAAGTTCAAGGTTGTTAACCAGTTTAAGGCAATTTATCGAACGCCAGCGCAAGGGCACTAGGAAAAACTAAATAATTTAATATGCACCAAATTTATTTAAATATGTATGTGCGGTTGAAATGTATGTGTGTGAATTCATGCGTATAATTTAATTAAGTTTTGTGTTTAGCTGTGTCCAATTAAATACTTGCACTGATTGAACCGCTAGTGTTTTCTTATTTCGCGTACTAGTCATGCCACTAATGAGACTTTATCATTGCTTTGACTTCTCATTACAGGATCCATTAGCAACATTGACGATGCGGAATATCATTGCAACAAAACACAAGTGCGTAAAGTCATTTCGGGTGTGGTGGGCGCTGCTTCATCGGTGACTTCTATACAAGTGGCCAATTTGCTGCGACTTTTTCGTATACCACAGGTGAGTTCATAATACAAACTCAAAAGAGGCATTCAAAGCTGGCGTAGAAAATGAGGAGAAGTAGTCGTTCAGTAGTGAAACATGGAGGTATCAAAGATCTGAGTCGATTTAAATAAATTTCAGTTGAACTTATACGAATCGCTTTTTTTAGACTAACTTATCTTTCAGTTCTTTTTTGACGTAGAATACGTCTTACCTTAAGGTATGGGGGCTATGTTCAAATGTTGTAGTTGTAATTTTTAGAGCTTCACAAAAACGCTTATTGCACGAGAACTAATAAAGCGATTTCAAAGAAAAGTGTGGCGTTTCAAAGATAAAATTCCAAACCTGTCGACAGATTCATTTTTGTAAATAACCAATTCGGTTTCTGTCGTAAAAACAACGGTAAACATTGCCAATTTTGAGCCTTTAAACTGCTCTAGCAACTTATTGTTGGCATATATAACTTTCATTTTCGGGATATAGGTTCTTTGGAGCAGTAGAAATATTATCGGGTACAAATTTTATATAAATTTAACAAATATTGAGCATTTTAAGGCAAAAAATTGTTGAAAAAATTTGCAAATTTTTTTCATTACCAAAATGCTCGAAAACCGCTCGAATGATTTTGTTTTTGTTTTCTTTAATCAAAAATTCAAGAGTTTTCCTTTCGTTTGGTATATGGGAAGTATTGGTTGATATCTTCTATATATGTTTATTTTATTCAAATATACGGGCATAAATGATTTTCCATACAAAATCACCTCGTCATCATTTTGCAAACACGTGCATATGTTGGAAGTGTGGGAAGGAGACAAAAAGTATGTATGCGTATGTAATGCGGCTTTTGATAAACAGAGGCGCGCTATTTATAACATAATCGCAGCGTGTGTACATATGTAAATACATACATACGTACATATGTTGATTGCAGTTAATGTGGATCTGTTTCTATTTTTAGTAATCTATGTATGTCTATACATACATATGTACATACATATTATATATGTACATACATATATGAACACATGTATGCATAATACGCGAAGACTTTTCGACGTGAAACAACATTTAGAAAAAGTCCAATCCAAGAATAAAAGTAAAGGTGAGGACGTACATAGATAAAGAAAAGGATAAAGGCCAAGGTAAAAATAAACACAAAAAACAATGGTATAAAATAAAAATAAAAATAGGGCTTTCGCTTATTTTCTCATTGAGTTCTTTTCACTTAGAAGTATGTAAATTTGTAAAATTTTGGAAAAACCCTTATTTTCTTAGTGTGTGATTTCGTTTTTGACTTGGATATGCTCTTAACCATACCACGTATTCTACGTTTAAATATAGCGGCTGTATCTCCGATACAGCCTGCAGACCAAGACGAAGGCGCTGGACTGTTCCTTTTTTTGGTAGTTATAAGGTATTTCGGATAAAGTTATCTATCAGGGTTACATTTACTTGTTAAAGTGAAGAGACAATCTTGAGTCGCCATATTGTGATGAATCTTAGATAACTTTTGCCTAAAATAGAAAAAACAGCAGATTTTTTGAAATACATAAAAATTGTTTTTTTAACTGACTTCAAAAAAGAAGGAGGAGGTTATAAATTCGTCGGATTTTTTTTTTTTGTATGTTACCGCATAACTTTGGATGACATTAACTGATTTCTATAATTTTTTTTTTTAAGAAAAGGTACTACCTGATTTAGATCCGATCTTTGGCTCATGAAGAAATTAAGGGTACTCCTAAATTTTTATGTGAGAATTGAAGTCAGTTTTATTTTTTTCTAAAAAAATAATTTGTTTTTACAAAAGATGTTATGAAGCCGCGAGGGGTTATTTTTTTTTTTTGTCCTTCGTAATACCACCGAATATTTGAGGCTGACCGAACATTCGGCTTCGGATTAGGTGTGCGTATTAATCGGCCATATTTTTATATTCGGCTGAATTCTCTGCTTCGGCAGGAGGTGCTGACACCACTGATTAAAGCAAATATATTCTACAGATACCACATCCAATTCCTAAGTAGAATTGCTCGGTGATTCCAAGAATCGAGTTTTTTTCTACGGATAAGTTTTCGAGATATCTTTAGTATACTGTTAGTCAGCTAAAAATAAAAAGGATTGGTTCCACTTAATCACATATATATCTTACGAACAAAATGGACAATCAAAATACGAAATACTGAAAATGGAAGTTAATGAAATTCTTTATAAACATCACTTTTCGATAGGCCCCATAGTTTCTGAGAAATTACTTAATCATTCCAGAATTTTTGGTTTTGTTTAATGCACAAATGAAAAGAATCAGACTTTAGCAGGGGAAAAAATAAAGATTCTTTGTCAATTTTTTAAAAGCCCGTTCTGTTACAAAAAAAAAAATCTAGCTACTAATGAACAAAATCGATGGATAAATGAAGAAGGAATGAGTGGTCAAATGAAAATGCAAAAATATTTTTTGTATGAGAATATTTCTTATACGCCATGTACACCTGAGTAGCACTGTTTTCTGGTCATATTTCATACAAAATATCCTTGCGCATTTTTATTTGACCACTCATTCCTCTCTTATTTAGCCATCAATTTTGTTCATTAGTAGTTTGATTTTTTTGTAATAGAACACAAATAAAAAAATTTACAAAGAATTTTATTTTTTATTTATTTTTTCGATTCCTGTTCGGTGCAGCTTCTAATATAGCGGTTGGGCCTCAGAAGGCAATTTCAAACCTACGAGTGCATTTCTGCCATGCAAAAGCTTCTCATAAAATCCATTTGGCATTTGGAGGCGGCATAAAATTGTAGGTCCCTCTATTAGTGTTCCAACATCATGATGCACACCACAAATTACAGGAGAAGCTCGGCCAAACACTTAGCAAAATATAATATATAATAACAGTTCATGCCGACTAAAAACCATCTAGGCATAGAATGCAGGCTGAAACGGCAACTGCTATTCCCACCCAGTCAGTGAAAACCACCTCGAGAAAGCCACGATCAGCCCACCTTAGAAGCATTCGTAGGCAATCAAGAGAGATGTCAGCCATTCCTTGACCAGCTTCAATCGCACCATAAGCCGCTTGGACTTCACCGCAGAGTTTTAGCCTTCTACTCGGTGTTTCGCTAGCACGTAGTGTGTTGGCTACTTTGCAGAGATTCGACAGCCCAAACTTGTGATTTGCGGAGAGTTCCTGATAGAGTGTACTTTCACCAGTTCTTTCGTGCAACTGCGGCACATTCGTAAGTCTCTGAAGCTTGCTCTTTCTCATCTGCTTCTCAGATAGACTTGCGTAGCATAGGTGCACCCATTCAATTTTTTCATGAGTTTCCAAAGACCGTCGAGGGTCTGATACTGAGCGGACTGTAGTTTTCAGGTTAGTTTAATATCACTTAAAACTCGCTAAGGGCCGTTTGTTCAATGCCCGGTTAACCCAAATCGAAAATGTCGGTAAAGATCTTTAACTGGGAGGTAGTGATGAACAGACATTGAAAAACCGGCCCTAAAACGAAACTATTGCAGCTCTTTTAACTAGACATTAGCAACTACCCCGCTATTTTCCCTGCTACGCGTCAATCAAAACTTCTAATGGTACGCATTTAAGGTTTTAAAAAAGCTCAATGCATCTTTGCAAAATGACCCATTGAAAGCGATAGAACCAAAATATAACCGGCACAAAAAAAGCGTGTACCTTTCTTTTGCCCAATTTACAATTTTCGTTAAGAAAAAAGAGAAATTTAAGCAACAAAACAACGTTAAAAATATCTTAACAGCAAAAGGCGAAACAAACCGATTTTGTACCCACGTATAAACAGCTTTTATGCAAAACATTAATCCTTTTTCTCCACGCGTACAAAGCACAGCAACAGCAGAAAAGTAAAATAACCGACGCTTCAAAGTAGTAAAAATGTTTAACATTTTCGCTACAAAGAAGAAAACACAGGAAAGAATGTACATAAATAAAATATGGCAATGTCAACGTTTTTACGCTTCAAGTGTCGCTTTTTGACACCAATCATCAATACAGACACACACACACACATCCGCATAAAATGCACAGTGCTTTGAATGCTCGTAAATTTCTATTAAGGGTCACTCAAACGCCATGTTGAACGCATCAAATATCTGCGAAAACTATCTACTTTTCGAGCCATACCTCTACATTGTAAAATAAAAATTTGGAATTTATCACATGCTATCACGCTGAGTATGCTGCAACAAGAAATGATAAAGATGCTTAAATGCTATCGAATAAAAGCTGGCGCACTCGCATTTATGTTGTGTTGAATGTACCTACATACATATGAATGAGAGTGACAAAAGGTTAACTGGCTTTAAGCGTGCCGTCCCCGACACTAACTGGCGACTGTAAATCAAACGGAGTGTGTGGGAGTTTATGGGAATGAACCCTATTAATTTTTTATTTGTAGACTGAGCGTGCATGTGTATGTGTATGCGCATAGTGTTAATGCCCGACATTGAAGGTATTGCATGCACGCGCGTTGTTTATGGATGCTTAAGTGATCGTACTATTTTTTTTTTTAATTTTTATAAACTCCACTTATATGCAGCTGCTGGTTGTGAATTTAAAATTTTTAACATTCATTTCCATGCGTGCGTCCTGTTACAACTTTCTTTTAAAATAAAAGTTTTCGGAATTGCATTTAACCCTCCGACGTTCAGGAATTTAAAAAAGGGCCAACATAAATAAACTGCATTTACTTTTAGTGTTTACGAGAACAGGTACACATTTTATTAAATAAATTAATTTTGTTTTTTTTTTATTGCAAGCAGAAACCATTTACATTAAACATGAAGACATTTTACCTACAAAAAAAAAAATCAAAATCCAAAAAAAAAACTAATTAGAGGTCAAGAGGCAAGCAAATCTCCACCAACTCACACAGGCGCTCCTGAAGTAGTTATTTATTCTCACTTCGGGAGTAGATATGACAACGTCCGACATAGTTTGCCGTGTGTTGAGAGGACGTAGCAGCGCTCAGCTCCTCTTGACAATTGACGAGGAGTTCTAGTTAACAGTTCACTCAGAGGCCAAAGACGACCATTACGTTGGCCAAAACCTGTGTCCACATTGCTTTAATAATAATAGATAGCTATTAGAAAAAAAAACTAACAATTTCTGTTGATTTTTTTATGTTAGTCGGAACCGCGTCTTGAACCCTGGCCCTGCGGAATAGCAGCGTGCACTGTTGATTCTGATTTTCGATCGAATTTAAATAGAATAGCAAACGCTAATTTAATAATGTTGGCGGAGACGTGGTGCTGTCTCAGAAATTGTAGGCGCTTTCTCCGGTGCTCTATTTACTTGCATAGAAGTGCTAAACAGATTCTACATCTTGTTTATCTCTACAGCTTCTACAAATGATAGCTAAATGACAAATGGTCCTAAGTCCTAGTAAGAAGCCGAAAATTTGTTTGAGAGCCTTGGAAAACTCCGTTCTTCTTTCATCTTGAAGTGTCCTGTAGACGTAAAAGTCTTTCCACCGCTTTGAAGACTGACGAAGACAGACTGATTGGTCGAAATTTCTTTACAAGCTTGATTAATTTTTAATATTCCCCTTAATCATAATATAATTTAGTTGTGACTCGTTTGCCGGGGTTTAGAAATAACTCTGATCATCTTTCAGGCTTGAGTTTATAGCTAAGGAAGGGACTGGCCCTATAAACTATCGTTATTCCAGGTATTATTATTCAATGGATATCTTATAACATTCGGGATAATGGTAAAAGGATCTGATATGCGTTTTTCTTCTCTGATGATTTCATCGACTACTCTGCCTATCTACAACTTATAGGCATTTCTGGCATGTGATTGACTTGTCTCCTCTATATGGCCACATTCTGGAAAAAAACACTAATAACCACTTCATGTGCTTTCACAATCTCAATTGCAATATTTATGTATGTAACTCAGTAAGTCAGTGTTAACACGTTAACAGCCATCCACAAATGTCAAGGGTGACCCTAGCAACTTCTATATCCGGATTTGTTTATTTGAATTTCAGTTAATTTGTTAGCATTCATCATTTCTGAAAACCACCAGTTTTAGACACACGTTTGAGGATTCCGAGGAATTTTTTATGAGAATATGATCCATTGCTTTAGAATGTCATCTTGCAAATGATAATGTAATTTGAGCTATTCTGACTACAACAATGAATCCCATATCGTGGGCTACTAGAAAGTTTGTTGTCTAATTGCAGCTTCGCACAGTTAGAATGGTCTAGTGTGTGTTGTGTATGTATGTATGTATGTATGTGTACAACGACTTGTATTCAAACATTAAATTTCAATTATGACTTAATTGAATGCCTCGCGCACAACTGACAGACCAGTGAATAGTGCAAAAGTGCTGGCAACAAATCAATAGCAGGGAAATGTGTGAATAGAACAATTAAATTAATTGTGGTTTGTAAATATAATAACAAAAAACACACATCTGCATCTCATCAACGGAATTTCGAAATTCCGTGCCACAGTTTACGCGTACCGCATTTATTGCATTTCGCAGAGTGACGAGTGAAATAGTGAAAGTAAAGCAATGATAAGAATTTCACCTTCTATTTAACTGGGTTTACGAACATACTCTAAACCAACATTGAATATGGTGGAGTGAAATTGCCGTCATTTTTAAAATCGCTATGGCATACCGGCAAACAGCTGACTTTCTAGCCCAGTAATACGGGTGCAGTGTATAATTTTCTCCCAGAAGGATTAGGTTTTGAAAAAAGGACATAACTCAACTTTATATATTTTTAAGAGACCTTTTTAAGAGGCTTTTTCTTAGATTAATTAGCTAAATGTCAAGAAAAAGTTAAGAAAATATTTTTCAGAGTACGTAAGCCGCAATTCAGTGCATACTGATAGTTGAGAGAAAGATGGTTTATATTTACTGCCAGCTTGTGTAATTAGCTTGTAACTTTATTAATAATTTGAAAACAAAATTTGCCGCTCAACATTGTTGCTATTTTTTTTTTTAGCGACAATAAGTTATCCAATCAATGACTACTTTTCTTTCGATGTCGACTTCTTCAAGTTGATTGATTTTTTTTAATATAATTTTACAAATTACTACCAGTTGGCTATGGTTCTTGACTACCTCCTCCTCCTCCTCCTTCCAGGTATCTTTCTTCTCTACCAGCCCTGAGTTGAGCAACAAGCAACGCTTCGAATATTTTTCGCGTACCATTCCCTCAGATCACTACCAAGTCAAGGCGATGGTGGATATTGTGAAGCGCATGGGTTGGAGTTATGTCTCCATTATTTACGAGGAGAGCAACTATGGCATAAAGGTAAGTGCAAAATAAGCGAAATAAAAGTTTTACATGCACTCAAAGGCAGAGAGCAAGTATATGTATGTATTTACATAAAAGTTAACTAAAACAAAAGCGCGTTGAAGCGTTGGCGTACAAGTATACGTAACTACGTAACGTGTGCGTAAAAAAAATGCTGCAAGCGCGCAAGTTTACAAGTTTCTTAATTACGACTATTTTATTCTACAATCGCCAAGTTGTAATATCAACACTAACAACTTTTAATTTCCGCACGCGCAGCGAGTAAGCGCAACACATTTGCCAATTGTAATGTGAAACTTAATCAAAATAGCGCAAACTTGATTCGGATCTTACTCTTAGGAAAACTTATTTCGCTATAAGCAAAGACGAAAAGCTTACTATGTAAGACTCGTAAATGTTCAAAGCTACAGGTTTTGCTGCTGCTGTTTCCTCCTTCTAACATTTTAAATAAATTTTTCAAAGCCAGTCATGTAATGCAAATGTACTCGAAATGAGAGCTTGCAGCAATGACTTTGCCAACTGGTCCGATACCTTTTTATCTCAATTTCGCCCAATTTCGGCGGACGGCACTTAAAATGTATTGTAATTCCACTAATTGCACCAATGACCACTTTGACTGTTTGTGAATCCCACTCAAGTGCACATGGACTACACTTTAAACAAATAATTCTGCTGTCATTTTGCTATTCTGTTCCTTTTGAATAGTAAATATCTCGACTTGCAGTGCGGCGCTATTCTAACTACATAATTGCTGTTCATTCGCTGCCAGCGCTTCTAAAAGTGGCTGCTAAATTTAACATAGCACTCGAGCAGAGTTGGCCACTAAATACTCTATAAGTATTTTTGAGCGCTCTCAGTGCACTTCTGTCTATTTTGCATACCTTTATATGTACATACATAGATACATACAGCAAGTGGACAGTTTCGTTCGCGAGAGATAATTAAAAATTATTCAGCAATACATATGAGAGCCTAAACGTAATTTTTTTTTAATCTAACAATGGCCATAATTTATGGTGATTTCTCAACTAGACATCAATTTTTGATAATTTTTAAACTAGGCATAAATTTTAGTAATTTTTAGAATGAACATAAATTTTTTCTAATTTCAAAACTTGAATTCAAATACTTGTTACATACTAATTGCACATCTAATACTGCCGGTTGCAAGAAGTTAAAATTTGATTTTGTTTTGAAAAGTAGTTATAAAATATGAACAGTTAAAAGGAGACAACGGCTATTAAAAAAAAAGGTACACTTTTTGGTGTTCTGTTTTCTGCGACAATCTCTGACCATATTTTTAGGTTTTAAAGATTTGAGATTTAGCCCACTTCTGATCGTTCATTCATGTTTTGAAATGATCAAAAATTTCATATGCCCTTCCGTTAAATGACCAAAAATATATGTCTAGTTCTAACCGAGCGAAATAATGTAAAATTTTTAAACTACCAAAAAAGTGATGTCCATTTATGTTTAATTGAGAAAAAATTTTTGGCCAGATTTAAACGAACAAACAGCGAGACGGAAATTATTTTCAACTTTTAAACTACCAACAAATTTATGTTCAGTTCTCAAAAGTCCAAGATGTATGCACAGTTGGAAAATTGCTCAAATTTTATAGCCGGTATATAGTCTACGCAAAAATCTTTTCATGCAGTTACAAAATTTTTTTACAATTTTTAAATCACCAAAAAAGTTAGTAAAACAATTTATACCAAAAAATTCAAAGTNTAGCCGGTATATAGTCTACGCAAAAATCTTTTCATGCAGTTACAAAATTTGTTTACAATTTTTAAATCACCAAAAAAGTTAGTAAAACAATTTATACCAAAAAATTCAAAGTTTTTTTTTCATTTAAGTTTTTTAATTGCTAAAAATTTATGCTTTCCAATTTACATACTTGTATGTATTTTCAATTTAAAAGTTCATAAAAGTTCATGCTAAATTCAATATAAGCACACATTGTTTTACAATTTTTGAAATACCATAAATTTATGTTCAGCTTTTACTTACGAGCACTCACATAAAAATTTTACTAGTTTTTTTGTTCAAATCCCGCGTTCGAAAAGCATTTTGTAATTTAAAATTTTCGAAAGAAAACTTTATGGAAATTTTCTAAAAAAAAAATTGTTAAGTTTTGAAATGACACATAAAAACGCCGATAAGCATTCACTTAATTTCGGGTCGCAGATTATGGATCTGTATGCCGCTCAGGTCATTTTTCATAATTTAATTTTTTAAATTCAAAGATCAACAAAGAAAAACTTAAAAAGGTAAAGCATTTTTTATAATTATTTCCATTTGTATTAACGGTGTCTTTTGCCGAAAATCAAGCTACTAACGATGAAAATCTATGGATAAATAAACAACTTTTGAATGGTCAACTGAAAATGTTAAATAATTTTTGGTATGAAATAGTAGCAGGAAAGAATGTTGCTCATACGCCATATCGTACATGGCAATAATCTTACACAATCCTACATGGCGTATGAGTAACATTTTCACGTTAAACTTAGAATTTTTCTTCATTGGCAATGCAAACTAAAAATTAAAATATTTGTTTTTGTTATTTTTATGGCCTTTTATAACAATTATATTCAACAATTTTTATGAGCTCGAGGCCGTTTTCAGTGAAAACTTATTGTGGAAAAGCAACAATAATTTGAAAAAATGGTAGAAGTGGTAGCTATTTCGGAAATCACCACATTTCCTCATCAGACTTCTTTCAGTA